TTTAATAAGCTAAAATTCATATTCCAAGGCATTAACCCTAACTACCTTAATTCCACAGCTCTAAGGTAGGACCCAGATATCTACATTTGTAACAAGCCCTTCAAGTAATTCTAATGCAGGCTACCCCTAAAACATCCTTTGTGAAACTATGGTAAGGATTTCTAGAACAATCTTGCGATGAGAATGTTGATTCTGGGGAAAACAAGTAACTTTTTCTACTGGGGTTGTTACATCTTCCTGTGATATGCCTCCAGAGCATTCATGGTCAATTACCTTAACATATATTTAGCACAGTATTAATAGTTCAAGAGTAAATCATAGTTTTTCCCCATCTTACCTTTATATAAATTAAAATAAACTATACAATGTAGTTATTATTTCTTGGCAAAGGCCAATAGTTTAAGTAAGGAACTTACATCACTTGGTTGTTGTGACAGAAAACTGATGTGATGGTTTTCCAGTCACAGTCTTAGTTTATCTTTTTCCTCATCTTGTCATGCATACCCACCCTTGCATCCTCCTGTCCAACTAATGGTCAGAGAAGACACAGAAAGAATGTGAAATTGTTGCATTCCTGATAAGTCTCTGAGGACAAAGTTTATCTTTTCATATTTACATAACTTTCCTTACCAAACACACAAATAATTGTCAGTATAAATGATAGGAGATCGATTTTCCATGTGAGACTAGCATTTCTCAGCCCTCACAACATTACCTGAAGGAAATATCTGAATTCAATTGATGCAGCTTGTGGATTTTCCTACCAAATATCCCTGCTGCTATGAGGATCAACTGAAAAAACAAATGTGAAAGGGCAAAGCCTACTCAAAGATGATTCTTAATTATTAAAAGGAGTACAGCAAGTGATACCTGTGAAAACGGTGCAGAAAAAAAAAAAAAAAAACCTTAAAAAATTCTCTGCTCCATGAAAACATAGAAAAAAACTGGCAAAAATAGTCAGAAACAATATTTTCAGAACACTAGAAATTAAACAAAGGCTTACAGTAACTAGGAGAACATTTATTCAAGAGAAATGGCTGAATCTTAGTATGAACAGTGAGCTTTGTGGTGTTTTAGCTGCTCTGTTCCCAACCTTATTGATGGCAGCCTTGGAAATCAACAGCCAGAGATCATGGTGAAAATTAGCAGTCTAGCAGCCATAGGAGGGAGCAGAACAGGGTTAGAGTTCATTCAAAGTCTCATTCCCAGAGAACTGTCATTATTTGACTTGTTTGGGGGTTCCTTGGAACCCCCTACTTATAAGCCTGTCTTTATTAGACCTATTCACACCTAGCACGGTGTGAAAAACCTTTTCTTCAGGGGCATTTGTAGAAAATTACTAGAGGCAATTGTTTAACTTCTTGGCTGCCCGAGGCACTGGATCACAGCTGGGGCAAAAATAGGCTAATTGAAAGTTTAAAAGGAAAAGCTTGGGAATGAGATGTCCATAGTGGCTTTGAAAAGCTCCCAAATATTCCTGAGAATCTAGAAGACCATATACAAATGCCCAAGTCTGTGTGCATGTTCAGGACAAATCTGTGAAGGCCTTATGCTCTCATCTCTGGTGGGGAGATATCTTGGGGCTCTGCACAAACAGGAAGTGAAGGCTAGGGCGGAATTGTCACCTGCTTGGCTGTGTGTTGAAGGTGTGTTGAAAGTGCATCCCAATATCCACACAGAGCTCCTGGCAAAGACTGGAAAAATTACTAAACAAACAATAACAAAACAACAAACAATACCAACAAAAACCACTGGAGATGGAGGAGACTCTGATTTCTAAAATCACCACATTATGTTATTAAATGTCCAGTTTTCAACAGAAACATTGTAAGCCATGTAAAGAAACAAGAAAGCATGACCCATACATAGAAAAAAGAAAAAAAAAAATCAAGAGAAACTGTCCCTGAAACCAAGATAATTAGACTTCTTAGACCAAGACTTTAAAATCAACTATTTAAAAACTGTTCAAAGAATTAAAAGAAACCATAAAAAAGGAACTAAAGGAAGGTATCAGAACACGCTCTCATCAAATTGAGAAAAGAGAGAGAAATTATATTTGAAAGGGCCAATAGAAATTCTGGGTTGAAAAGTAGAATAAACTAGAGTGGCTCAAAGGCAAATTTGAGCAGGCACGAGAAAGAATCAGGAAACGTAGATATAGGTCAATTGAAACTAACCAGTTTGAGGAAAGATGAAGACGAAGACGAAAGAAAAAGAATGAACAAGAATTTGCAGAGCCATAAAGACCTGTAGGACTCCATCGAGCATACCAACATACACAGAATGGGAATTCCAGAAGAAGACAGAAACAAAGGGGCTGAAAGAATACTTAAAGAAATCAGTGGCTGAAGACTTCCTAAATTTGATGAAAAATACTAATCTCCACATCCAAATGATCTATTTACAAACTCCAACAAATATAAATTCAAAGAGGTCTAACCTAGACATATCAATCAAACTGTCAAAACATAAAGAATCTGAAAGCAGCAAGACAAAAGCAATTTGTCACATGCAAGACATTTTTTAAAAATTTTATCTCTGATCTTTACATATATATATATCTGATCTTTATATATATATATATATAAAATATATATATATATTTTAGAGAGAGAGTGAGTACACACATGCTGGGGGGAGGGTCAGGGGGAAAGGGAGAGAGAATCCCAAGCAGGCTCCATGCCCAGCACAGAGCCTAATGCAGGGATTGATCTCACAACCCTGAGATCATGACCTGAGAGGAAATCAAGAGTTGGACACTTAACCGACTGAGCCACCCAGGCGCTCCAAGACATTTTCAATAAGATTAATAGTTGATTTCTTATCAGAAACTATGGAGACCACAAAACAGTACATGACATATTCAAAATGCTTAAAGAAAATGACTGGCAACCAAGAATTCTATATCTATGGCCAATTGATTTTCAACAAGGGTGCTGTCTTAGTTCAGGCTGCTATAACAAAGTACCACAGACTGGGCAGCTTATATACAACAGAAATCTATTTCTCACAGTTCTGGAGGCTTGGAAGTCTGAGATCACAGTGCCAGCATGGTTGAGTTCTGGTGAGGATCCTCTTCTGGGCTGCAGATTGATGACTTCTCATTATATCCTCACATAGCAGAGAGTAGACAGAGGAAGCAAGTTCTCTCATGGCACTTATAAGGGCATTAATCCTATTCATGATGGCTCAACTCTTATAATTTCATCTACTCCTAATTACCTCCCTAAGTCTTCACTTTCTCATACCATTGGGTAAAGTTCTAACATGAAATTTAGGGGAACACAAACATTGTTATGGCACTTGAGTCCCTAACAAGTGCCAAGACCATTCAGTGGAGAATAGAATAGTCTTTTTAACAAATGGTTCAGGAACAGCAAGATATATATACACAGGTGGAAAAATAAACTTAGATCCCTAATTCACACCTTATATAAAAATTAACTCAAAGTGGATCAAAGAGTTAAAACTAAATTTTTGGAAGGGAACACAGGTGTAAATCTTGGATTAGGCAATGGTTTCTTAGATATGACACCAAAACACAAGCAACTAAAGAAAAAATAGATAAATTAGACTTCATCAAAATTAAAAACGTTTGTGCTTCAAAAGACATCATCAAGAAAATGAAAAGACAGTCCACAGAATGGGAAAAAATACTTGTAAATCATATATTTGATATGAATCTAGTACCCAGAATATATAAATAATTTTTACAACCATAAGAAGGCAAATAACCTATTTTAAAAATGAGCAAAGAAGTTGTATAGACATCTCTTCAAAGGAAATACACAAATGGCCAATAAGCACATGAAAAGATGCTCAATATCACTAGCATTAGGGAAATGCAAATCAAAACCACAATGAGCTACCACTTCACACCTACTGGGGTGGGAAGAAAGATGAAGATGAAGACGAAGACGAAGACAAAGAAAAAGAAGAAGAAGAAGAGGAGGAGGAGGAGGAGGAGGAAGAGAAAAAAGAAGAAGGAGGAGGAGGAGAAGACAACAATCACAAGTGTCAGGGAGGGGAGAAAATGGAACACTTATACACTGCTAGTGCGAACAAGAAATGGTGCTACTACTTTAGAAAACAATTTGGAAGTTCCTCAGAAAATTAACATAGGTTTACCATTTGGCCCAGCAATTATTTATATACATACATATTTTTTCAGAGGTTCACATAAAAACTTGTACACAAGTTCCCATAGCAGCATTATTCACAATACCCCCAAAATGGAAACCACCCAAATATCCAACAACTTATGAATGGATAAACAAATATGCTATATCCATACAATGTACTATATTTTGGCCATGGAAAGGAATGAAGTACTGAGACAAACCACAACATGGATGAACACTGAAAAAATTATGCTGAGTGAAAGAAACTAGACAGAAAGTGCCATATTTTATATGATTCCATTTATGTAAAATGTCCAGAATAAGAAAATCCATACAGATAGAAAGTAGATTAGTGGTTGCCAGGGGCAGAGGGGAGGAGGGAGAGGACGGGGAATGACTGCTAATGGGTACTGGATTTTTTTGTTGGAGAGGGTGATGAAAATGTTCTGGTGATGGCTGCACAACCTTGTGACTAGACTAACACCCATGGAATTGCACACTTTAAGAGAGTGCATTTTATGGCATGTTAATTATATCTCAGCTTTAAAAAAAGCAGTACAGCTTCTGAAAGTAGTATTGGCCACTTAAGTCCCCATTAACATAATCTTGGGTGGCTTTGGGATTTGGGGTTGAGAAAGTTGATCTTGGCATTTAGGTATGTGGGGGAAAACAGTTGAAAGGGACACATCCACACACAACCACAAAAAAAAAAACCCACACGACTTAAAGCAAGCACAGGTGCTTCCAGGTACCATGAAAATGGGGCCCACGGTTATTTTCCTGGCAAACCATTTCCTTTACAATATCCCCAATGTGCATACCCACCACAAATTTGGAATCAGTATGACTATCCAAACTAAGGCTAGCAAGTAACCTTACCTTTGTTATTGTTTTGTTGTTCCAGCAGTAATTGACTTATTTCTGAAAACCAACAATCTCTGATTTCTTTTGAAGCTGCCTGCAAGTTGCAGATAAGAAGATACTATGAGTATCAGATCACCTGGAGCATTAACTGGGCAGGGTTTTTATTCTCTGGGTGACCTCTAGAATAATGAGATAGAAAACACTTGCCAAGTCATGGGAACACAGGAAAGAGTAGCAGACACCCATGGGGAAGACGTGAGCTTTACCTGCAGGATGTATTTCTCGAGTCCATTTCGGTTGGCAATTTCAAACTTTCGGCTGCTCCCCCTTCCAAGCTGGCGAATTGAAAGTGTCATCAACTATTGTAAAGAAAGAAGAAAAATTGCTGTACTACCATTTTCTGATTTTAAAATTGTCCCTGTCAGCCACTCTGGTTCTTTCTACCCTCGATAGCTCTCTTCTTCCATCTTCCTTCCGTGTGTTTTGTTGTCCTCTGTTAATGGTCCCAGGGAGCATAGAGCACAAGCACAGTGTGGCACAGTGTCATCTGTCCTCTCTTTCAGGGGACAACACAGACTGCATCTTTCCGTATGTAGGGCTGGAGCCCTCAACCTTTAAGCAAAGAGATCATCTCTCCTTTAACACCTAACTATCTCACAAATCTGTACATAATAGTAACTGAATTAGTATCCATTAAGAAACATAAATAACAAAAGCTACCATAAATAATTAACAACTTTAATCACAAGAGCACAGATGTGTGTGTATGTGTGTGGTGGTGTGGGGGTGGTCTCATCACCACCTATGAAATAATTCCTACACAGGCTAGAGATGATGTTTGGTGTGGACATGGGTTCCTAGACCTCCAGAGTCTTTGCCAACCCTAGTATGCAAAGATGTGTGGCTGAGAAGGACAAGTAGGAGATGAAATCCAGCCCATGTGCTAATCACCAAATCTTTCACCCCTCTGCCTGCAGGGTACTTTCCTAAGTCGTTTGTCAGGACAGCTGCCATATGGTCCCTGTTCTCTACCTAGCACAAAGGCACCTCTATGCCGGCCCTGGACTGGTCCGGTGACTGATTACCAGCTGACTTTGGAGTTAGAAAGGCCTGGGTGCAGAGTCTAGTTCTGTTGTGTGGCATTTGGCAAGTTAACCTCTCCTCTCTAGGCTTCAGTTTCCTTATCTGTAAAATAAGGATAACGATTTTTCTCTCCCTAGGGCCATGCTGCTTCTCAAGTGCAACAGGACCCTTTACCTTCATAGATTTCTTAAAGCTGTAATGAGGAGCGAGGCCCTGGTCACTGGGCTCCATTCGAATCTTACAGAACACGATTCCCCTTTCAAATAGATAGATTTGCCTTTGCCTGGGCTTAAATCGGATAAAATCCTTCATTTTATAACGATCCTTGTGGACTGTCCAGACGTTGAAAGAGCCATGCATCAACAGCTTGCCCAGTTTCCTGATATCGTCCTTTGGGGAAGATAGACATACATAAAAAGAAGCTGTTACATTACTTGACAGGGAAAGAACTCTTAAGGGTCTGTTTTCAAATTATAAAGTATGCTTATTTGAAGTTGACGATTTAAAAAGTGCCAAACAGGCTCATCTGTCACTAAGTCAAAACTATAATTTTGTGAACTTCACTGAGCATGACACCATTCAGTTATGTAGGTCTGTGCAAGGTAATAAACACAAAGCATGTTAGAAATACTTGAACTAAAGATATTGGTACTCTGATATTTTTGTCTTTGTAATTAATTTTAGCTAGCAGAATTCTATTTCCTCTTCTTGGTTTTTGATACATGACAGTCTACTTTAGAAGGGCAAGAAATTAACATTTAAGTATGTTCAGGAGAGACAGAATTTTTGCTGCATTATGGACCTAATTCCATAATCATCCATGAGCTCTTTCTGCATCCCAACATCTGCTTCTGTTCGGGTATGAGCACCTGAGAACATGAGATTTATTTTGCAAGCAAAAAAGCTTCATATAACCTAATCTTCATAACATTGTAATGAAAATAACAATGACATTCAACTTCGCATTTCTCAGAGTAAGTGGACAGGGCAAAGATAATCCCAAATGACAAAATTTTTCAGAAAGTCTACTTGGCTTCAGGGCACATTTTATGCCTATCCATCCACCAGCAAACCCATCTTTCGCATATGTCTGTTTAAAAGTCCAAATGGGTGACCCTGCCTTCTCTGAGCTCTCTCCAAAGGGTAGTGGGGTGAGATGAGCTAAGAACGTTGTATTTTATCTGGTATTTTTTGAAAATTAGATCACTTGAAGCAGATAATCAAGAATTTATTTCCCAAAAGGAAAAGGCCAAAAGGAGAAAATTATTTGAACAGGACCAGGACAGAGAAATTTCCCTGAGTTATGTCTAGCTGAAATAAATCTCTACATTTCTGAGTTAATACTAGAAATATGTACATTATTTATAATTGGGCATTTTAATAATTTATTGCTTATATTGAACAAACTGTGAATATTGTTTTAAAAATAATTTATTGCACTTCTGAAATTCTAAAATAAAAATTTCAAGAGCATAAACTGTACTCATTTCTATGGTGCTTGTGGCATAGTTTCTGTGCTATTTTTCTCTTTATGCTTTGTAAAATTTATATGTGTAAACTGTGGTGAATGAACCTCTCAGTGAGGAATAAAGAGCCCCCAGCATAACGACTGCTCTCCTAAAAGCACGATACTCCTGCTTTAGTTACACAGGCTCAGCTTGACCGTGCTCTGAGACAGATGGGTGATGGGTTCATGAGGACCCTTGAGAAATTCTTCACTTTATCCACATCCTTCCAGGAGCTACTCCAGCTCTCAGTGATTGCATTCCCTTTTAAACCCATTCCGTTTCTACTATATAGACATAAATAATGCAGGAAATTTGTTTTCGTCAAGGTGACTGGCAAAAGTTGGTGCTTAATGTTTGCCACATAAACTACAACCAGTAGTTTCTATTTTATTTTTTAAAAGATTTATTTATTTGAGAGAGAGAGAGAATGAGTGGGAGGGACAGAGGGAGAGAGAATTTCAAGCAGACTCTGCTCTGAGCACAGAGCACGATGCGGGGCTTGATCCCATGACCCTTAGATCATGACCTGAGCCAAAACTGAGTCTGAAGCTTCATCGACTGCATAGTTTTTATTTTATTTTTTTTAAAGATTTATTTATTTATTTATTTGAGAGAGAGAGAATGAGAGACAGAGAGCATGAGAGGGAGGAGGGTCAGAGGGAGAAGCAGACTCCCCACTGAGCAGGGAGCCCGATGCGGGACTCGATCCCGGGACTCCAGGATCATGACCTGAGCCGAAGGCAGTCGCCTAACCAACTGAGCCACCCAGGCGCCCCATAGTTTTTATTTTAAAATGTACTTATACTCCACCTCATTTCAAAAATTTGATCTCTCTTATAAAAATATATACATTATAGGCAGACAGAAAATAACCAATGTACTTAGGGTGAAAAAAGATAAAAAAAAATAAGATGAAGAGGTTGCACATAAAACCCCTATAATAAAGCTATGTAAACCTACTGTAGACTAGGCTAGGACCTTCTAGTGGGCCCTACAGAGGGAAACACAGGGAGTCGTATGATACATTATGTTCAAAGACACACCTAAACCAGTTGTTCAGAAAATGTACAGCAATTCCTATTAATAGGACATGAGAGAAATTTCTCCCATGGGTCCTGGTCCTCATAAAGAGCCACTGAGTCAAATACTGAGCCTGTCCTCAGCCACATCCCAGAATAGCTAAACAAATGGATTTTAGGTAAAGCTGTTCCTGACAACACATTTGGTGAATGTGGAGGCATTACTTCAAAGCACAGCTGTTAAAAGCCATTCTAAAAGAAGCCGGAATAGAGAACCCAGAAATGGACCTTCACCTCTGTGGTCAACTAATCTTCGACAAGGCAGGAAAGAATATCCAATGGGAAAAAGACTCTTCAACAAATGGTGCTGGGAAAATTGGACAGCCACTTGCAGAAGAATGAAACTGGACCATTTCCTTACACCATACAAAAAATAGACTCAAAATGGATGAAAGACCTAAATGTGAGACAGTAATCCATCAAAATCCTTGAGGAGAACACAGGCAGCAACCTCTGTGACTTCTTGAAAGATACATCTCCAAAGGCAAGGGAAAAAAGGCAAAAATAAACTATTGGGACTCCATCAAGTTAAAAAACTTTTGCACAGCAAAGGAAACAGTTGACAAAACCAAAAGACAACCAACAGAATGGGAGAAGATATTTGCAAATGACACATCAGTTAAAGGGCTAGTATCCAAAATCTATAAAGAACTTATCAAGCTCCACACCCAAAGAACAAAGAATCCAGTCAAGAAACAGGCAGAAGACACGAACAGACATTTCTCCAAAGAAGACATACAAATGGCCTACAGACACATGAAAAAATGTTCAACATCACTTCTCATCAGGGAACTACAAATCAAAACCTCAATGAGATACCACCTCACACCAGTCAGAATGGCTAAAATTAACAAGTCAGGAAAAGACAGATGTTGGCGAGGATGCGGACAAAGGGGAACCCTCCTACACTGTTGGTGGGAATGCAAGCTGGTGCAGCCACTCTGGAAAACAGTATGGAGGTTCCTCAAAAAGTTGAAAATAGAGCTACCCTATGACCCAGCAATTGCACAGCTGGGTATTTACCCCAAAGATACAAATGTAGGGACCCAAAGGGGCATATGGACTCCAATGTTTATAGCAGGAATGTCCACAATAGCCAAACTATTGAAAGAGCCAAGAAGTTCATCAACAGATGAATGGATAAAGAAGATGTGATATATATATATAATGGAATATTATGCAGCTATAAAAAAACCCCGAAATCTTGCCATTTGCAACGACATGGATGGAACTAGAGGGTATTATGCAAAATAAGTCAATCAGAGAAAGACAGGTATCATATGATCTCACTGATATGAGGAATTTGAGAAACAAGACAGAGGATCATAGGGGAAGGGAGGGAAAAATGAAACAAGATGAAACCAGAGAGGGAGACAAACCATAAGAGACTCTTAATCTCAGGAAACAAACTGAGGGTTGCTGGAATGGAGGGGGCGGGGAGGGATGGGGTGGCTGGGTGATGGACATTGGGGAGGGTATGTACTATGGTGAGTGCTGTGAATTGTGTAAGACTGATGAATCACAGACCTGTACCCCTGAAACAAATAATACATTATATGTTAATAAAAATTTTTTTAAAAAAAGAGTCAATGCTCTTCCTGGTCTTACTGTTCCAATCACAGTCTAGAAGTTCCTTTGACTTGTAATTTCTGGAATTCTTCAGCTCATTTCTGGCTTTATCCTTCGTCCATTCACTCCTCCCCACCTACCCTTGGAGGTGAGTCTCTCCCTCCTCTATCTTTTGATTCCTGTTTCTTAAACATCTGTGGGGAAGGAGGAGGTTTGAGACCAGCCAGCTGTGGGGTGGGTATTTACCCCAAAGATATAAATGTAGTGACCCGAAGGGCACCTGCACCCCAATGTTTATAGTAGCAATGTCCACAATAGCCAAACTATGGAAAAAGCCCAGATGTCCATCGACAGATGAATGGATAAAGAAGATGTGGTATATATATATATACAATGGAATATTACTCATCCATAAAAAAAAAAAAAAAGAAATCTTGCTATTTGCAATGACGTGGGTGGAACTGGAGGGTATTATGCTAAGTGAAATAAGTCAGTCAGAAAAAGACAATTATCATATAATCTCACTCATATGTGGAAGTTAAGAAACAAAACAGAGGATCATAGGGGAAGGGAGGGAAAAAGAAAACAAGATGAAAGCAGAGAGGGAAACAAACCACAAAAGACTCTTAACCATAGGAAACAAACTGAGGATTGCTGGAGGGGATGAGTGTGGGGGGATGTAGTAACTGGGTGATGGACATTTAGGAGGGCATGTGATGTAATGAGCACTGGGTGTCATATAAGACTGATGAGTCACTGAACTCTACCTCTGAAACTAAAAATACATTATATGATAATTAATTGAATTTAAATTGAAAAAATAGGGGACTGCCTAAATAAATAAATAGAATTAAAAATAAAATTAGTGGAGACATAAAACATAGGCATATCATTACATTTTATTAATAAAGGTTGTCTAAAAATAAAAATAAATAAAAACTTTTTAAAATTTTAAAAGAAAAAAATAAAAATAAATAAATAAAAGAAGCCAGAATGATGGGGGGTTGGGGAACAAATCCCAGTGTGCACTCTCTAATGACCCGTAGAGGGCTGGGTGAGGTTAGTTAAGGTGTCTGCCGAGGCCATGGGCTGCAGAGGAAACTGCCCTGTCTATAGCCCTGCTGAAGAGGCAACCTTAGGAAGTGATGTTGCCTTTATCCCCCCGGCTCTCTCCTCCTCATCCCTCCAGCAGCCATAGCTGTTTGCACCTCAGTAGGCAATTGACCAATGGTTA